CATTTTAGAACATGGATTTTTACCCTGCCACTTGATAATAATTATGTTTTAGTATTGGGAAAAGGTTGAATATTGACATGAATGGACAATAACTTACAGGAAGTGTAGGGTAACTCAACCCCACATTAATGACAACAGCCGCTACAAGAGAGATTATCATGTTGAACCCAATTTGGCGAAATCCTGATAAAATTAAGATGAAATTAGACAAATAGTTTAAAAAGAGTGACAGATATACAAGTCGCTAGACTCTCCACAAAATCTGCTGAATTGTATCTCCATGGTCATTTCTGAATTAAAGATTACACATATCTTGATTTTTGCTCCAACGTTCCTATGTCATAAGTGCATGTTTGGTTCAAAATATTGGACCAAACCGGAGTATAATGAATAAGATTTTATATCTTCTTTTTTCTTTTTTTAATACGGTTAAGTACTACCCAATCAAACATGCCATTAATGTATCCAAGGGTATAGAATGTAAACCCCGTAAAGGTTTGACATGAAATGAGCTACTGGAAGAAAAAGTTTAACTAGGTCACCATGTGATATTTACCAGTATATGTCTCCCATGGATAAACAATTCCATTGTCATCTTGGTCAAAGAAAGCACAATGTTGCTGAAGAACGCTCAAGTTGTTATGCACATGCCCTGGAGTTCCATTGGGATGTTCTGTATCCGGAGCAACTAATGCTCTTGCCATATCTGAATATTTATACAAGAAGTTTAGATAGACCAGTCACAATGTTATTGCAAAGTTCTATGCCAATGCCAAGATCAGTTGCATAAAATAAATTTATTTGAATAATTGAAGACTTCGGTGAAAACTGAATATAATGTACACATATATATGAGTGGCCCATGCAGACAATGAACCTCTCTTGCCTGGACAGACACTCGCGCCAAGGCAAGGGGTCATACTGTGTCTGGCCAGGCTTTTTATTTGTTGAGACTAGTTTGTCAACCAAACTTTTGTACCTCTCCTTGAGACCCGTTTGGCGTGATTTTTGAAAAGCCAAACAAAGCTTTCGAGACCCAAAAGCTAATTTTGAATCTGTTCCTCCAATCTTTCGAAAGAGGGAGCTCTTTTAAAAATTAATTTTCAAAAACAAATAAAAGTAATTGAGGGGAGGCAAAAGTCTAGCCAAACAGGCCCTTAGACTAGTTAAAGCACAAGAGGCATCTCCAGAAGAGAGGTAGGCCACAGTCCATGGGACAACTTTAAAACCTCAGAAATTCCTAGATAGCATCACTATTTTAGCATCGCATTTTACGAAACAAAGTGAATCTGCCTTTAAAGGACTCAAATTTGGCCTCTCTTGTAATTAACCAATCAAGTTCTACGAATCTATCTTCCCATCGGGGAGAAGATGAAGACAAGTTAAAAATGTCAAGAACACCATAAAATAAAGCAGAAAATTCGATTCTTCATCTAGGCCCCGTTTGATAGCTCTTTCTTTTCTATGGAAGATGGAAATTAAAATTCATTTCCATATTTTTGCATGTTTGATTGATTAAATTTTTCATGGAATTGGTTTTTCACATTTTCTTAATTTTTGAGGAAAAGCTTTTCCCACGGTTTGAAGAAAAGCTTGACAACTTTTTATTTTATTTTTTTGATTTTTTCTTTTTACAATAGAAACAAATTTTATCCCCAGTTATAATAAATTATATCTCTTTAACGGATAATTTACATGAAAACAAATTCAAACAAATACCAAAAAATTCAAAATTTCAATATTTTCCTAGTGGAATCAAACACAATTAATTCAAAATCCCGTAAAAGAAGTTCTAAACAATTCAAATTTCACCCAAATTCCATTCTTGCAATCAAATGGACCCATGTAAAAGAAACTGCAAATCCAAAATTGCACATCAAATTTTCAAAAATGAAAAACCAAGAATACAACGATTCATCCTTGTATATGACATAAATCATCAATATCCTGCAGAACTGAGACGAAAGAAGGGGGTAAAACTTACAGGGTTTAGGAATAGAGGTTTCTAAATCAGTCCGGACCGGACGCTCAATCGTCACCGGAGCAAGCGGCGCCTCCGTTGACAATGCAGCGTTTTTCTTCACCGCACCAGCTGCCATTTTTCCCTCGATTACTTTCTTATTTTCAGAATATGATTCTATGAACGATTTTCTCCTTTTCACACAGATATGAATATGAAAAATGATTATGGAAAACGTTAAATAGCGGAATCGGGAAGCGGTGAGAGAGTGGAGCTTACAAATTGCGTGGCAATCATGCAATGCATCCGTCTTACAAGTTCGGCGCCGTTTGACATTAAGGCCTCAGGCTTGCGACACGTATCTTTTACAATTGGAGTAATACTATATGGCAGGACCCGTTCTTTCATGAATTCTTTTTGAAACGTATTAAGCTTATGTGTAGGGTAATTGGCTCAAAATGTCCCTACTTATGACGGGTTGTGTGGAAAACGTCCTTACGTTTGATTTTTTGGTG